CTTTCACTTCATCATTATATGTGTCATGACGCAGGGGAATTGGGTAAAGTGAAACCTCCTCCAAAGGTGAGAAGAGAAAGTGTGGTATAAATGTTTTAGGAACATCTTTCACTTCATCATTATATGTGTCATGACGCAGGGGAATTGGGTCTATGGAGTTATTGGTATCATCTTAAAGGTTGTTCATTTGCTTTGTTTTCGATGTAAAAAAATATCGAGATATTTGCAATTGAAGGAGGTGGGGGTCGCCTGGTTTCAGAAGTAAAATAAGTGAAAAAATGGCCGCCAAAGTTTGTCGACTTCCATAGCTTAAGAGCCCGTGGAAATTGCAAATTTACATTTTTTGTGCCTTTGATGAACGTTTTTCCATGCAATCCACCCATAAAAGTGTTTTGAATGGACCTACAAGGTGTTGAGCCAAAAAACAAATTTGAAAAAAAAAAAATCCTAAATTTTGCTGAAAAATGCCGATTTCTCGGATTTCATTATTTTGACAAGAGCCTGATTTCAACAAGATGCCTCAGTCACATATTTCTTTGAAGTATTGTCATGTTTGCTGCTTTACTCACGTTGAGACAGATGGTGAGGTGAATATTTTTCTTTTCACCGCTCAGTACTGCTCTTGTTGAAAATATGGAATCGCATGAAAGAAAGTGAACGTTTGTGAAGAAAAACGGGCAATATTGCTGCATAGAATATTAATTAAGCTGATACTTTTAAAAAATAGATCTGTACACTTTTCATTTAACAGATTTTTCCCAGTTTCAATTGTCATGATTCTGTCAAAGGTCAGGTCTGTCGTTTCAATGACCTGACTTGTCTTATGGGCCAACTCATCCCCTTCTCATGAAATATACTGAGAAATTTCACGGTCTCAAAAATCTAGAAATACACTTGATAAGAGAGTTACATTGATTTTTTTATGTGTACTCGATTAGTAGGTTATCAGAGCTATGCTTACTACCAACATTGATGTGTTTATGTGTGTGTGTGTGTGTATGTGTGTGTGTGTGTGTGTGTGTAAAAATGTGCGTATGTGTGTGAGTGTAAAAATGTGTTTATATGTGTGTGGATATATA